TTCTACAAATCGTAGTGTAGTGTTTGAGTTTTAGAGTTGAATTAACTATAAGGTGATGTTAAATATTGAGTTATGTACATCATTTGGCGTATGTGTCCGAGGTACGAGTATGAAATATGGGTAATATTTGACATTTATAAGTTGCAAACATGTTTTAACAGTTAGGGTTAGAGTTAGAGAATCATTTTCATATTTAAAATGTCAAATTTACAAAAAAGTGTTAACTTATGAATATATTATACGTTTTGAATGTTTGGAATAAGTTTTAGTATAGGGTTTTGAATAATCATTGAAAATAATCGATTTAGGTTTCCGGATAGAAGTCTACCTCAATCAGTAGACTTCGTACGTTTGGGGTTTAGTTTAGAGTTTAAGGTTTCATAGATTTCATCTGAAGTCTGCTAAACCGAAAATTATTAACCTAACCAGAAATTTTACCCCCATATATAAAAGAATCTACTGAATTGTAACCCTAATTTAATTAAAAATCTCTGATACTCTCTCTTTCTAAAACGACGTTTCTTCTTTTTTTCTCTTCATCTCTTCCAAAACTCCAGATCCACCACGTCTCCATTTTTACCGATCATAAGTTGTGACCTTCTTTTTTCTCTTCATCTCTTTCACAATTCCAAATCTGTTTCGAATGTGTTTAATTTTAAATTTTAGTTGAGGGTAAAGTCATAGATCTGAAATGGTTTTCCTTTAGAGAAAATTGAAAAGTTTTTGTTGATTTTTGTTTGAGTTCTAATCTAAACGAAAGATAATTTTTTTAGGCGATACATAACAAAATGGCTCGTCGTCTTGGAGCTTCGTGAGCTCTGTTGAAGATGGAGGTTCACGGTTTCGAGGAAATAGACATCGAGATTAGAGGAGAATGAGAGATTACGATTCGATGAACAGAGGAAGAGAACTAAATGACGAAGCTTCGACATCGGGGAAAACAAATCGATCTTCGTCTCCGGTTTGAAGAAATTTCAGATTGGATAAAGCAAAGCTACAGAGACACGTGGCAGTCAAAGGAGAGACGACGACGATGATGGAGAGTCTTCTTTATATGTTGTTTGCCGCTCTAATGGCTTATCATATACATGTCAAAGCTTGTTTCAGTGACTTTGTAAAGTTTTCCGGCCTTGGATTTTTTTTGGCAGTTGAAAGAACTATTTGCCTTGTTGTTTTCAGTTTGAAGTTTTCCTTATGTGTTTCTTTCCTCTGTTTTCAATTGAAAAGAGTAAAAGAAAGATGAGATCTTTGATTGAATGTTTGCAGGGAGTGTATGCGGTTGGAGCAAGGAGTGTATGCGGCATTCACATCATTGTTCGTCAATGGGGAATTTGGAGTTTGTTGAAGAAGCTAAGAAGAAATTGCAGGCAATTCAAGAGGCTTATTCTGGTAGCTTTCTTGTTGTCAATTTGTTTATTATTTTGTATGGAACAAATGATTAGTGGATATTGGAGATCCTCTATGATTTCTTTGTTCCTACTTTTTTAAGTGTTGTTTTATGTTTCTGATTAAGCTTTTTTTTTTGGTGGGTAAACAGTTTTGTCTGACTCAACAAGATGTTCAGTTATGATGTTGGAGCTTATAATAGTGATGATGATGACGACCAAAACGTAAAGTCCATTGTTCATCATAAAGATTTTCACTTTCTATATTTTGTGCATTGCATTTTAGGAAAGTGATACGACTTGCTTTCTTCCCTCTATGGTCATTGAACTTTTGACTCATGTAGTGATGGATCTTGTTGTTATGCAGGGAATGGGAGATTTCTTGAACGAAATGACGACAATGGTGAACCAATCCAAACCTAGTGTAAGCAGAGCCTTGCATTAGTTAGGGGACAGTTTCGAACAACCACAAGATCAATATAACGAGATGTTTCAAGGAGACGCAGCAGCATTCCCATCGTCTTGCTCTACTTCAACATTCACTTACTCTTGTAGATGGGGAAAGAAGGAGGGCAAGAACTACTTTCATGTGTTGGTTCAGGCTTCTTTGTTGCCATTAAACAAGATTATTTGTGAATGATAAATAAGTCAAAGTTATGTATATGACCGAACACGTTCTCTTTGCGTTCAATTGTTTTGAATTCATCTATAGGTTGGTTATCATCTTCAATTTCTTTGCATCTAAACAAGATTTGAATATTTTCTACTTTTAAGAAAGAACAATAAAAGAAAGAAGACATAACAAGAGAAAAAAGTAAATACATACCATAAGATTGTCCTGACAAAACACATACTTGTGTTAGAATTACAAATGGAACACCGTAATTTTGGGATCTTTTTACGTGTTCAAAAGTCAGTCCTATACTTTCATATATTCTTATATCGAAAAATTTAGTGTAAAAGAAGTAGTATTTTGAGAGAAAAAAAAATTCTGCAAAAGATTCTAAGTTATTTACCTAAAGACAGACTTGATACGCAGTCTACTTGTAAACTTCATACGAAATCTGTAAAAATGAGTTAAAGGATAG